TTCCAAAGAAACTAACTTCTTTATTTCCAAAAGAAACAATGTATTCCCCAAACCCACTGCCAACCAGTTAATTCCAACTCAGAGCAAGTCAGTAATGCAGAGTCGAAGTGCTCCCTCTGGGCTTCCGACAAGGTAAATCTCAAGAGCAGCCAGTCTCACCTTTCTCCGACAGAGCAGCTGGTGAGTTCAAACTGCTGAACTTGTGGTTAGCAGCCCAAGGGATAACCCACTACTCCACCAGAGCAATGACTGCTGTTTTCCTGGACACACATGCATTTGTTCAGCTAGCTGCTCTTTAAACCACGATCTTTAATTTTTCATGAAAAATGTTCAGAAGTCAGGTTTCAGGAGAAGGTCTTTTCCCAGGGCTTTCAGAACGCTATGCCAACGGTGTTCACTGGGCAAACGGAGGAAGGCTACTGGAGCTAAACTAAGCAACCGACGAGTATCAATGTGCTACAGAGATTTCAGTTTCCTCCTAAAAGTCTCTTCCTGTTCTCATCCCCAACAGAGCATCTATCGAAGTTTACACCATCTTGTTTTCCTCTCTACACCATCTAGCAACAGAAGAGTATCAATGTGCTACAGAGATTTCAGAGTTTCCCTCCTAAGTCTCTCTTCCTGTTCTCATCCCCAACAGAGCATCTAACGAAGTTTACATCGTCTTGTTGTCCTCTCTACACCATCTATGTTTTAACCGTGCAGGTGATGGCAACTAAAGCCAATCACGAGGTATGCCTTCTTTCAAATCTAATTTCAAAACGGCCTTCTATCTATCTGAACAGCTCCAACAGCTGGGGCACAAGGTGGAGGTGGAGAGAGAACTCACCATCTCACCGGCAATCCATTTCCTTGCAGTTGTTGTTGCAAAAGATGCTCCTCATACTGGGATGAGACTTGCCTGGCTGCCTGAGGCTGCAGTCGGTGACCCTTCCACAGTGCAACCTTTGAATACTGTCCTTTCCAAGAGCGAGTAACACTTCCAACGCTGCCTGATCAGGCAGGACTTTCATCTTTCTTATCCTGGAGACTCTTCAAGCAGAGTCTTAAGACTGCAAGGGCAATCACTTTTTCAAATGGTCGGAGTCGGCACCTTTAAACTTTCATCCCTACATCATAGCTCAGAATTTAACCACACTTTAATCTACGGTACTTCTCGTGCTAAATTAAAAGCAGGGAGAAAATAGAAATAAGCGGAGTTTAAAATGCACACAGATTAAGATAAAATTGATGCTAAATTGCACCTGAAAATAACTTGATTCTGGGGGGACGGGAAGCTACATTCATACACGCACAACTTGTAGGAACAACGAAGCAGACATGATCTTCAGTGTTGGGAACTCCCTGCTTTCAAAGTGGCATTTGGTGGGGCTCTCAAAATGATCTGCTACATATCTCTAAAACAGGAAGTACTCTGGGAACATCAGCACAACATCCACATTTTAGGATCGGAGAAGTCTGTACACTCATTTTTGAGGAGACAATCTCACTGTTGTCAATTCTGACTCACAGCAACAACTGAAGGATGCAGTACTGGTTAGCAGGGTTTCCAATGCTATGCATTTTTAAGATGGTTTCTCCAGCCGACGGGCCCGTGGGTTCAAACCATAAACCTTTTCAGTTGGCAGTTGAGCACTTAAGTACACTGACTCTCCTGATTCCTTAAAGAATTGGAGAAAAGAAAGTGTCGGGTAGCACCCTCCAATAAGAGCAGGGATGCTGGGTCAGTTATAAAGAGTGCCAGAGAGACTGGGGGAAAACAGCTCTAGGAAAAACTACAAGCCTTCTACCTCCAGGTCTGCTGCACCCAGTTGTCTCTTAAAATAGCATCACTTCCTCAATTCCCAAACACAGAAATGATTTTGGGGCTGGGAAGACATAACCTAACAACGGTAGGATAGCCACTCTTCTGAATCTTCCTATCTGAAAAACAGGCAGCACAGAATTGAGGTGCTAGAATTAGAATCATGGTCTCTTTGGTAGAGTGACAACAGCAGGTTACAGGGGGGTTTCCCCAGGGGCCTGCTAAAGGTGTGCAAGCTCACCCGGACATTGTCGATTTAAAAAACCCACAGCTAACCTTTTCATTCAGTTGTCCTCAGCGAGGGTGTCTATTTTATAAGAAAAGTGAAACTTTCTATACTTTTTTTCTCTCTCAAAGAAGGAAAACATTAAGACAAATTTAGTACAAAGAACTTTAAAAAACCAATCTGAATCAGAGACTCTTCTCATGCAATACAGGTATATGAACGGGGTACAAGACAGAAAAGAGCAGAAAGCTAGTCTGTTGAGATTCTTTTTAACTTCACAAGATTAAAGAGGCTTTACACACTTGTAAAGATGTGCTGCCTCGGAAACCCACAGAGGCAGTTCTACTGTTTACAGAGTCACTACGGAGTTGGAATCTACTGGATAGCAGTGAGTTTGAGCTTAGTTTGATGGGCCCTATTTCAGAACCCAATCTTTCTAAACTGAAAGCAAAATAAACTGTTCAAAACCAGAAAATCTCGTTTGCTACACATTAACAACCTCTTCCAAGCGGAGTTAATTGTTTCACCGAATTTAGGTCAAGGATCGAAACATCATTTCCCCACTGTCAAAATAGTCTTATCTACTACCATGGATGGCCTCCTCCTCTACTCCTGGAGGCTCACACCTGATTGACTGTTTTCTAAGATTTTCCTCCCCTGCCTCTTGCCAGGATTTCATGAAAGGTATTGAATTTTTTTAAACCAAATTGCACTGCTGTATTTATCTGAAGTGAAAAAGCCCTATGCTGCACATGCAACGTCTGTTGAGTCTTGGTTATTACAGGATACAAAACATGATAAAGTGCTTTTAAACAGTACACTTGCAGAATATACTTGTAGCCATGCTAAGTAGTTCACTTGCCAGCTTTGCAAAACAAAAACAAAAAAAACTAACAAGGTTCCATTTTAAAAGTGAATGAAGTTGAATCAGCAAATGTTTTATATGCGTAAATATGTATATTTACTAGAATGAAAAAAAATAGTCGATGAAATAATCAAGTACTGTGCCTATAAACTATTTAGTTACCTTCTTATAACAATGAAGATATAGCAGCAAAATAAGTAAATTCCAAAAATAGGTTCTATACCAGCTCTTTATGTGCGTTACACAATTGATGTATGTATGGATTGTGATGAGTTGTATGAGCCTCTATTAAAACGATTAAAAATAAATTTAAAAAAGGGGGAAAAATAGGGATGATGATGGCAATGAAAGTACAAATGTGCTTGACACAATGAATGTATGTATGGATTGTGGTAAGAGTTGTACAAGCCCCCAATAAAATGATTTTTTTTTTAAAAAGCATAGGGGTAGGACTTAAACCATTTCTTTGGGTTCCCTGCTCAGTATGTGCTTTTCATTCATGCTCCTCCTCTATGATGGCGTAGTGAATGAAGCGTTGCGCTACTAATCACAAGGTCGGAAGTTCCAATGGACCAGCTGCTTCACAGGAAAAAAAAAAAACACCCCAAGACTGTGCCCACAGATTTGCAGCCTGGGAAACCCAGATCTTCCCTGCCCTAACCGGTCTCTATGAATCCACAGTTGAGTCTGGGTTTCAGGCGTCGGTGAGTAGGAAGGCAGGCCTGAGGAGGGGGATTACTTAGGGGGAAAAAACAGTAAAAGCTCCTCTCAAGCCCAGGGAAGGCTGTAGACACAGTGGTATGTCTATTGAATAGACCCTTTAATACAGTTCCTCATGTGGTGACACACAGCCCCCAAACATAAAATCGTTTTCGTTGCTACTCCGTAACTGTCATTTTGCTATTGTTATGAATCAGGCGGCCCCTGTGAAAGAGTCGTTACACACACACACACACACACACACACACACAAAGGGGTCGCGACCCACAGGTTGAGAACCGCTGGTCTAGTCAGATTGTCAAAATTCTGTCAAAAGGCACTGGTTTACAGTGGTCAAGGTACAGAACAAGACCTTACAAAATGATTAACAAACAAAAGACCTTTCCCTCAATTTCCGCAGCTCCGGAACTGTTACTCCACCCCGCACCCTTCTCAGAGCCTGGACCCCGAATCCCAGTTCAATTAAACTTTCTGATAGCTACTTTTCCGAACTCTCCCCACACCCCACTCAAATACATAAAATGTATCCACGCCTCCAGCACCGTAGGAAGGAATGCTTCCAAGTTCACACGTAGTACCGTAACTTTTGTATTATACCTGGAAAAACAAAAACAAAAACAAAACATACACGACGTTACCGACTTCAGGGCTGAATGGGGATTTCGGCGGCGGGCGGCGGCTGGAGCACCACCTGAGCCCGAGCCGAGGACGAAGCGCTGCCTCCAGGCCCCGCGGGCGGGCCCCGGTCCTTGGCCGCACCGTCACCTGCTGGGAACGGGCTGCAAGTTCGCTTACCATCCCGCCACACCTGCAATCCCCACCTTAAGAGCCCTCAAACGCGGGGGGAGGAAGCACGCTTCTTCCGGAAGGCGCAAGAAAGGCCACCCGAGGCGGATGAATGAACCTGGGCTAAGGGCACCCGGAGCAGGGCTGTCGCTGAAGTCAGAAAAAAGAGAAGTCAAAGCAGGTTTAAGGTGAGCGCGGTCAGGGGTGACCGCGGTACAGACGGCTGCACAGACACGCTGCGGAGGAAGGTCTCCATGAGCGCAGACAGTTCCGGGAAGACCGGCCGGCCGGCGGGCGGCGGAGCGAGGACGGAGCGGGCGGCGGGGCCGGCGACCAGGTGGCTTCACCGCGGCGGGAGCGGAGCCGGAACCGGGCTGGGCGCTCGCGCTTGTCCTCCCGCGGACCTTCCTGGGACCTTCCTTGGCCGCCCCGCCCCCGCCCGGGCCGCGTGCGAGGCACACCCTCCCGCGCCCCGAGCACGCCGCCCGGGCACCCTCAGGCCGCGCGGGGCAGCCGGGCTCACGCTGGCCCGGCGCGCGGCCTAGCGACTGCGGGGACACGGGCGCGGGAAGGCGGGTTCCAGGGGGAAGGTCACTTACCCGCTGCATGGCTTTCAGGATCAAAGCCAGCTCGTAGCGGGGCATGCTCAGACGTGCGGCGCGCCGCTCCGGGCCGAGCCAGCTCCCGCGACGAAGCGGACCAGAAGGGCACGGGCCACGCGAGGAGGAGCTGGGATGCTAGGCCGGCAGGCTCCGGGGCAGCAACGCTGGCTCCAGCCGCGGGAGCCTGGGCTTAAAGACGCTGGCACTTGCGCAGACGGAAGGCCACGCCCCCGGCCCGCCCCCTCCAATGCCACGCCCCCCGTGGAGCCAACGGCCACAACCACCCCGCCCTTTCCTTAAAGGGACCCAGCCGCACCCCCTCCAAAGCCCCGCACTCTGCGGCGCGCGGAGCCCGGGCCGGGCCCGGCCTGGCCTCTAATTTGACGGACAGCAGCGTCGCGGAACTGTTGGAAAGGTCAGCGGAGGCCGCACTGCCCCGCCCCCGGCGTTGTGGCTGCTACCTGGGGTGCTGAAAACCTCTGGAACTTTCCATGCCTTTCCGGCTCCTCCGTGCGCCTGCGCTGCGGTCTCGTCCGTGCACGCGCTTTTCTTCGGGGACCCCGCCGACCCGCCCTGCTCGTGGACCCGCTCCGCGCCCGAGTTGTGCGGGAAGGGGGCGCGGCCGGCTTGGGGCTTTCCCAGTGCGGGTTTTGCACGCGGTTCCCAGAGGTCCTGCTGCCTGCAGTCCGCAAGCCCTGTCTTCCCGGGGTCCCTTCTTTGGATGAGGTGCGGTGCAGGCCCTGGGGTGGCCGCACGGGGTCAAGGTTGGCCGCTGCATCCCTGCCTACTTGGGTGACCTTGAGCAGGCACCTTTTGCTGAAAGCGGACTGCCTGCGTTGGTGCACTGAACACACGGAGAATGGCGCCTGGCCCCTAAGCAGTAAGGTGCCATTACTCAGTATTTGCTGTGGTGCCTGGCCGGCCTGACCCACGTGTGGATGTCAAAGGCGGGCTAATGCTTAGACTCAAACCAGTGGTCTTCAAGTAATTGTTCATCATAGACTAAGCTCATTGTTGCAGCCACTGTGTCAATCCATCTGGTTGAAGACCTTCCTCTTTTTCGCTAACTCCCTACCAAACGTGATGTCCTTCTCCAAGGACTGACTCTCCAGACAACATGTCCAAAGTATGTAAGACAGAGTTTCGCCATCTTTACCTCTAAGGACCATTCCGCCTGTACTTCCATGAAAGATGTGTTTGTCCTTGGTACTTTCATTAGTCTTTGTCCATGGTAGTTTCAGCATGCTTCTCCAGCACCACTCCTGGTACCAAAATGTGTTAGGGTTCTCTAGAGAGATAAAACCAAATTGCTGATAATTTAATATATTTATTTATAAAGATAATTAGATATATAAACCAAGCAATGAACAGTTAAATTATATGCAAATAGATATATAATACAAGAAATGAACAGTTAAATTATGAAGTACAAATGGCTCAGTGCAACTCACTCCCGTGAGAGAGTTGTGAGACACTAGCAGTCCTTAAGTCTAGTCTACTGCCAGGTCTTCCTCTATATAGAGAGAGAGGTAGGCTATGTCAGCACAGCAGCCAATCATAAGGCAGGTCACCAACTGCCAGCCAGGTCACCAACCGCCAGTCCCCAGCTCCAGCGATGTCTTAAAGGGACCTCAACTTACAGCGACACAGTCCACAGGCTAGGTGTCCCACAGGTAGTGTAACCTTTAAAGTGAGGCACAGAACAAGCAAGGCAGCCGCACACTGGTCCGATGATCAAAGAGTGAGAGACAAGAAACACGAGGCTCACCAAGCCATTTATCTCTCTGCCCTTCAGTTAATCCCACTTGTATTTATCGGCCAGGCTGGCACAATAAACTATCTCAGATGGGGTGTCTGTTTAGCTCTTCATTGAATTCCCTTTGCTCTTTTGTCAAAGATCAGTTGATTTTATTTATTTATTAAAAGCAGTTTATTGGGGACTCTTACAGGTATTATAAAAATCCATGAATCAATTATATCAAGCAAACTTGTACATATGTTGCCATCATCATTTTAAAAATATTATCTTTCTATTTGAGCCCTTTGATATCAGCTCCTCTTTTTCCCTCCTTCCCCCCGACCCTTGGGAACCCTTAATAAATTCTATATACATAATTTCTACACCATCTGTGTGTCCCTTCACCCACACTTCTGTTATTCGTCCCCCTTGGGGGACAGTTGATTACATTTCAAGGAACTATTTCAAGATTCTATTTGTCCCTTTTATCCCTGTATCTATTCTTTCAGCAGTATCACAGTTTCAATTATTGTGGTGTTCTGCTAAGTTTTGGAGTCAAATAGTTTTAGTCCTCTAGCTTTGCTCTTTTTATTCAGTACTGTATACTGTTGCTTTTTTCCCTTTCTATATAAACTTTAGAATGCTTGTCAGTATTTCCAAAATAACTTGCTGAGGTTTTGATTGGGATTACATTGAATCTATGGATTAAGTTGGAGAAATAATAGTCTATGTTCATTGATAGGAAGACTCAAAAGCACATTTGTACATTCATTGCCCTCATCATTCTCAAAACATTTGCTCTCCACTTAAGCCCCTGGCATCAGCTCCTCATTTCCTCCTCCCTCCCCGCTTCCCCCTCCCTCATGAGCCCTTGATAATTTATAAATGATTATTTTGTCATATCTTGCCCTGTCCAATGTCTCCCTTCACCCA